GGTCACCCCTGTCTCTTCTGAAAACACCCTACTCCTAAGAGCAGATAGGAAAATGCAGCTGCCTCCGATAAAGCAGTGACTTGTGCACCCAAAGCCAGGAGAAAGAGGTAAATCTGTCCACCTGCGGAGCACACAGCCCAGCTCCTGGAGACCAGGAAGTCTTTTCTACCAGCTGTGCTCATAAACTATGCTGGGAAAACCCAGGAAGAGTTTGATGGTTGCCTGGAAGCAGCAACTAGGCGCTGGGGAAGAAGCGAGGAGGTAGGCAAGGTTGAGAGCGGAAAGTGCTGCTATGTTGTAGACTTATGTAGCAATAGGACGCTTTTCACTTTGCTCAGGTTTTTTGCAGTTACCTATGTATTGTCTCTCAGCTCTCAAATCACCCTTTCTTGTCCTGTGGTGTAATACTTAAGCTGGCTCTAATATCCATTCCTTCTTTAGTGGTTGGCAGTTAAGCTTTGCTTGTAGGGTGCTGGAGGGATACTATAGAAGACAGGGAGGATGAACTGCACTTCCTGATTCTGGGAAGTACAAATGTTCCTGTCAAGCAATGGGCCCCGTCACACAGACAAGCTTGGTCCATACCTTCTATAGGTGTCTGGACTACAGCAGGATGCACACACCTAGGAAAAGCCTGCCTGCTCCCAGGACGTCTGCACCTCCGCTTTGGAGAGCTACCTTCCAAGTTCTTAGTTCCCCTTGTGTCTTCTCTCCCTCTGTAGCAGAGGTAGTAGCTACTCCCCGCATCTGGCGTTCTCATGTTCCTCAGAGCCCTGTTTTACTATTCTCATTATTCCTTTTACGCTTAGTACTATTCTGTTCTAATTATTCTATTAGTAATATCCAGGAAGTACTTCTTATTCATGGGGGAAAGTCAATGCCACAAGGATGGTACTCCCCACAAGTAATCAACAGATTAAAGGAAATTCCGTCTCAAAGTCCCACCAGCTGTTATGTGTGTTGTCATTCCTTTGCTTGGAGAACTGGGAATATTGACCTTAAAATCCATATAGAAGAATAAATGTCAAAAATTACCTAGGTGATTGTGAAGGAGATGGTGAGAGACTCGCCTTATTAGAAGGTCCTACTTGTGGAGCAACAATGCTTAATATCATGTGGCATCGTGCAGACATGAAAAACTAGTTCTGGACCTAGACACATACAAGAAATTCATTTATGACAGAGGTAGCGGAATAAATTTGTAACAAAAACAGTAACACCAAACATTCACTGAGTCTTAGCGTGGTGATGGGCACAGCTTTAGTTGTAACATGTCTAATCTCCCTCACCAATTCTGTAACAGAGGCACTATTATTATTCTAATTTTACAGATGAAGAAATTGAAACCCAGGGAATCTGGGTAACAGATCATATCTTAATTAAAGGTGAGGCTGAAGTTTAGGCCTGTACAATCTGACCCCATAGCCCATGGCCTGAGAAAGGAAAGGATTTGGGAGTCAGTAACAATTGATTACACAAGCACTGCATCGTCTCACTAGTGTAAAACCTGAAAGAGTTCATTTAAACTAGGAGGTATGATAGACATTGTGAAATGGTAGGAAAACACTCAAGGGTAAAAGGCAACTGAGATGTGGGGAAAGAGAAGGGAAAGAAGGAGAAATTTTGAATGTATGTATATACAGGATAGTTAACATAGTTATTCTACTGTCTTCTATTTCTTTGCTGAAAGAAACTGTCAATGAGTCCTTGATTGATCAATATTGCACGTCTCTATCTGTTTTCATGAGAAACCATTTTGAAGATATCAATATGTAATACAACAAGCATTGTTAATCTCCTACCACTTTGTTTGTAACTCTGTATTGTCTGTACTGTTCTTTTGCTATTTTGTAAAAAGTTGTCTGTTAATGTTTTCCTCCTTTTATTTTTAAAATAAAAAAAATTGATTATGCAAATAAAATTTAATTAGCTCCCTACTTTCTGTCACAAAGTTAGTTACAAGTGAATCGAAGATCTAGATGATTAGAGGCTGGGTTGTATCTTACTAGAAGAGCTTGTGCTCAGTATGTGCAAAGGCCCTCGTTCAATGCCCAGCACTCTAAAAAGGGCTGAGTTGGAAAAAACTCAGCTTTCTTACATACATACAATATGCACACAGCAAGTCATAAAGGAAAATAATGATAAACTCAGCCACCTTGAAATGCGAGACTTCTATAAGGCAAAAAATGTTATTTTTAAAAGGAAGAAGACAAGCCATATTCTGGAAGAACATGTATAACTACTGAAATGTATTATGTATGAGGAAAGAACTTTTCTTAATAAATTTGGAAAAGACTCAGTCTATTCAGAGGGGAAAGTCAAATGATGAACGAAAACATGTTTAAACTGTCCAGTAATGAGGCTAGAACTTAAAAAATGAAGTAGGTTTTCACATCAGATTGGCAAACAATCAAGTCAAACCTTTGCTAATATTGGGGCATGGCTGAGGGAATGAGAACTCTCAGACGCTGTTGGAATATAAAGGGATATAATTCTTCAGAGTAGTTTATATTAAGGATGCATTTGAACTGTGACTTAGCAGTTTCATTCCTCAGTTGATACATGGAACTGTAGATAATTAATTTTTACTGACCCATTCTAAGGGATGTGTGCAGGTCGTTGTGCGTAAACTATTTCATTTAAAAATGCAATTACTATCTTTTCTGTAAAAGATAGCTTTCTCGGCACAGCCAGAAATTCTGCCTTGCTATGCTCTGAAACTTAAATTTTAGACACTGGGGGGCAACTTAACATTATTTTACTGCCGAATTCTGGAACCAAAAGTCAAGAGCTCAAAAGAACATGGGATCATTGTGCAAATTTATCCTTTAAAAGATACCCCCCTCCAAGTGTAGCCTGGTTAGTTGTTGGCAGAAATTGGTCTACAACACAATTCTGAATTTAAAAAAAAATCTTAGGTTGATGTTTAATGTAGGAGCTAGGTGGTACCTCCAGTTCTAACATAAATTAATTCTCAATCAAGACTTTTTCTAAAATAGTGTATTATCTACACAATGCTTTAGAGTTTGCTCTTTACAAACTAACCTCATTTTCAAGTAACAATACTACCATTATGCTTTAACTCCATTTTGGTAAAATATGATAAGCAATGATTGTCCAAACTCTGAAAAATGTGGTCAAATTGCCTTGTAAAATGGGCATTCATATTCACAAACTCTGGGTAGTCAAAAGCTTGACCTGAAACTATACCTGCATGGAATCATTATTCCAAGGGTGGAGGTGCTGGGAGTGTAGCTCAGTGGTATAGCACTTGCCTAGCAAAGAAAGGAGGAAAGGAAGAAAAGAAAGGGAAGGGAAGGGAAGGGAAGGGAAGGGAA